AACCTTTCTCAGATTTCTGCACAATTATGATGAAGAAGGAAAAGCACTTTTAAATCCATAGCATGAGTATAAGAAAGAGGAAAAATTTTACTTGTTCAATCATGCAATCCAAGGCCGGAGCTCGGAAACGGGTAAACGCTAATCACAAATAAAAATGTAGACAAGGGGTGGATATTGTGCACATCAAAAGAAGTTTTTTCTTAATGGAAGTCTGGAAATCCACTAAAGCGGTTCCCGAAGATTGTCCCATGTTTACGTTCCCGATGCGTTGATATTACCTTGTTAACACTACTCGGGACGAAGTCTTGCTTTCTCGTCCTCGTCGAGGAAGATATCATTCTTCAGGAAGTAAGTTATGTTAAGCAGCAATCGACGGAGGTATATTGCGTCTCAGTAATGAATAGAAGAATTTTATTGCAAGTCTTATTTTTTTCCAGTAACACGAAAGACGTAAGTTCAAGTGCCCAGAATAGAGTCAGCACTTTGCTGTTCAAAACGAGAGAATGTAAATACGCAGCACACGAACGAAGGTAAGCCATATCTAGGACAAAGGCCTCTGACTAGACGTTTCTTCAAAAGCGTAACCAAAAGTTTCTCAATAATACCTATGAAAAGCCAAAACACGAATCCTAACTGAAGAAATTATCCTAGCACTAACCTAGTACAAACGAAGAAGCAAAGCGAACTCTTCCGAAGGACCAGAATGGAAGACTCCATCTGATATAAACGTAGTGAAGGAAAATAACATACTCCCACGATAGCCGAGGAAAAAGAGAAGTTGCAACTGCAAGTCTCTCGAAGACCACGGAAAATTTCCTGACACCATAATTTTCAAGAATCGCACCATTTAGTCCTTAACTAAATTTCCACCTTTCTGCCAAACCGCACAAAACAGCCAATTTGCGCAAACGCAGCCAGTCAGAACCAGCAGCCAAAGTTTACACTACTTTTGCCAAGACCAGTTGACCTTCCGCGCAGCTAACTATTAACCCTTGACCTTTTCCTCACGTACAATATACCTCTTAGCAATCGAAGACAAAGCAAAAACCTTCTAGAATTTTCTATTTGAAAAATTTGTATGAATGACGTAGCAGAAATCTCTCCTCGCCCATTTTCCTGATTCTCTACATACAGATTATTATTGTATTTTCACGAATTTTCCGATTAAATTTAATAAGCCAAATACCATTGAAGCATTGGTTTTCCGGCCGAAAATTCAGAGAACAACTTATTAATAAAATAAATTATTAACTCAAAAAATTAAATTAATTCTAATTTTTCCTAAGTAAATATAATTACGTGTATACTTTTCTTAACAGAAAAATTCAGATATTTTTCAACACAACAAAACTGGATTATCTTGATAACGGCAAAGCACACGAGGCCTAACTTTTTATGGGAGAAAGTATCTTCTTGGAGGGTATTTATATATACTATATATATATATATATATATGGTTTGCATTTATATTCCACATGAGCAAAATCTCAACTATCGTTATGCATCCAGTTTGTTCGCCGTGATTTGAACTTGAATCGAACAACCAGTGTTTATCGAGTTTACTGCTCGGCCGTTGGTCGAAGTTTTTATTTTCAAACTGTCACATTTTTAATGTCATATAGAAAAAATATTTTAATATTTTGTATTTTTAATTACATAAATTTCATGAAGATTGCATGCAAAGGACAAAATTAATTCTGAGTTGCAAGAACTTATTTTAATTATAAACGTCGCCCACATACATGTAAGACAGTCCTATGCATCATTCCAATGGCTACTATAGATTTTTGAAACGTTCAAAATAATGAATTACTTGATTTTAATGCCACGACTGTAGTTTTTTTTTAATTATTATTTAAAGAAAAAGAAATCCTCGTGCACCACAAAGTATCACACGAGATTTACAAATTGTAAGTAAAAAAGGCAGAATAGTAAGTAATACCATCAGTTTTCAACAATACAATGAAATCATAACAAGGAAAAAAAAACACAAGTAAATACAAAAGTATAAAAATGTATAAAGAAATCATTAACAGTGTTTAAAATAAAAGTCAACAAAATCATTGAAAGCTCGGTAGGCCGAAAGTCGAGGATACAAAATCATAACATTTCGGCGGCCAATGAATTCCAATGAATTTCAATCTACATTTCAAAAGATTTCTTGCTTTATCAAGCAGTGGGCAATCAAAAAGCAGGTGGAAAACACTTTGCTGAACGCTAAGATTGCAATTACACAAATTGGAAGATGTCAGCTTAAATCGTTCAAGATAAACATTAAACTTACCATGTCCAGACAAAAATTGCGTAACTTTAAAATTGAGCAACAAGTCCTTACTTTTCAGTCTTTCAAAAATAGTTGGGAAGAATGCTTTTGTAACAGATCCCTTATCAGAAGAGATATAATCACAGTTCCACCGCTCAATCATTTTAGCTTTGAATGTTTTTTTTAAATAAGATTTTGGAATATTTACATCAACGTTAATATCATTTTTAGTTGCATTCTTAGCAAGCCAATCAGCTCTCTCGTTTCCATAATTACCCGAATGACCACGGACAAATGTAAAAAACACTGAAATACCCCTCTTCTCCAGATCTCCGAGAGACTGCTGTATATTGACAATAATATCATTACATAAAGAGGTATTTTTAAGAGATTCCAGGGAAGAGAGTGAATCCGTACAGATTAAGTAGCTGGAACCACTTCCATTCTGGCTAATTATCCACTTGATTGCAAAATTAATACACAGAAGTTCAGAAATATATACAGTACATTCATTTCTAATGCGAAATTGGTGACACTCAATTTCAATATCATCTTCAAAAATAACATAAGCAAAACCAACTTTATCATCAATCCTACTACCATCCGTATACAGCACAAATGAGAATGAATTAACATCAGTGTCCGTACTATCCAGAATCTGTACTGGTTGTCTTACAGAAGGATGTGGTAGAACAGACAAGGGCAATAAAAAACGATCAAAAGTGAGAATTGGAGTAATTTGCAAGACTATTCTTGTAATCTATAAAAGGTCAGAATAAACAAATCCAGTGGTGGAAATCCGGCAAGAGAGAAAACAGCATTGTAACTAATAGTTCGGTAACCGCTTATAACTCGCAGCAAAATTCGTCTTTGAACTCGAAGCAGGCGTTTTAGAGTTAATTTTTCTTTTTTAGAGACAATCCCCAAGCTCTACATCCATATGAAATAAGGGGTACAATGCCTTGTTTATAAATAATTGCGCTAACATTCGATTTAACACCAAAACTATTACAAGCAATTCGATTCAGCCCACGCTGAAGTCTCTCACATTTATTAGAAATGTAGGAAATATGCTTTTTCCAGTTAAATTTGCTGTCCAACAAAACACCTAGATATTTAATTTCATTCACCCTCTCAAGGGGATTGTCATTTAAAAGCAATTGATATCCTTCATAAGTAGTATTTTTTCTATCAATAAACATGGTCTTGGATTTTGCATGGTTAAACTTTAACTTAAAATCTATTGACCAATGATAAATGAAATCTATAACATCTTGGGCGAGACGAAAAGCTTTTTGCATTTCTTTTCCTTGAATACAAATCAACAAATCATCTGCAAAGGCAATGACTTCACAACTGAAGAGATCAGAAAGTTTCTGTAAGAGATCATTCATAATAATAATCCAAAGCTTGGGACCGGAAACAGAACCTTGTGGACAACCTCTTTGAGGTCGGACGAACACTTGAGGTGCCACCCAAAGAAAGCTCGACCGTCCTGTCTTTCAGCAAATCAGAAACAACATTAAACACATTTTGAGGTATCTTCATTTCTTTTAGTAAATTGAGAATAGCAGGCCACCATGCATTATCAAAAGCTCCTTCAATATCAAGAAAAATTAAAATAGTGTACAAACCTCTCATCTTACCCCTCTGTACAATGTTGCTAAGACGCAGAAGTGCATCCTCAGCACATTTTTGAGCAATGAAACCATATTGGTCAGCACTAAGAATATTTTCTTTATGTAGATGCCAAGTAATTCTGTTAGTAATTAGTTTTTCAAAACATTTACCTAAAGAAGAAAGAAGACAGATACACCTAAGATTATTCACATGTGGAACAGTAAAACTTTGTTTCTTGGGTATCACAATAACAAGGGCGTTCTTCCAAGTTCGTGGAAAAGCACAAAGATTCAAACATATATTAAATAATCTATGAAAAACTGCAGGAAAAAGCCGATGGAAGTATCTTATGGTTTCATTGGGAATAGAGTCCGGGCCAGGAGACCTGCCAAGCCCTAAATTACGAATTACATCATCAACCTCGGCCTGCGAAAAAGGAGGATCAATCTGAGACGCATAACTACTGCGAGCAGAATGAGCGCCACTGAGTATGAAAGTCATTATCAAGTCTCACACAATCAGGAGGAAAAGCTTTATCAAGAATAGCATCGATAGTTTCCTCCAAGGAAGACGTAAAGTTACCGCTTGAAAGCCGAAGGCCCGAGATCTCAATCTTCCTCATAAAATTTTCTTTAATACCATAAGTGTAAATTTTTTTTCCACACACATTCTCATTATTGATATCGGAAAGAAACTTCCTCCAAGACTCTAATTTGGCCTCAATAAGCATTTCATTGTATTTTTTCCTTAAATCAAGGTATTTCCGCTTATACAAGTCCCTTATATCATTGCTAGTAGTCCTCTGGAACCTCCGTCTAGCCGCGTTGACTCTCTTTCTCATAATGGAAATTTCCAATGACCACCAAGGTACTTTTTCGCCTACCAGTCCTTCTAGTAGGCATAGATTTAATACATGCCCGAAAAATAACTGAAGTCATAAAATCTACAATCACATTAAGTGAGTCAGTGCTTCGAGCAAGAATCCAAACCATTAATGATCAAAGAAATATACTGTGAACAATATTTTTCAAAATATCCCCCAATTTGCTTTTTTTTGTATTTAAACAAAATTCTACTGACAGCAATTAAAGAAGCATCAGAAACAGATAAGTCGAATTCAATCATTGCATTGATCTGACAATGATTCACAGTCCGAGAGACACCAGCGGGTAACATTTGCTAGCAAATCAGCTCCCATAATTGTGACATCTATATAGCTTGATCCCTGTTCCGAACAAAAGGTAGGGCCACAGTCCTCATTGATCACATATAAGTTATAGGAGCTGACAAAATCTCCAAGCTTGTTTCCTCGAGCATCACTGTAGGGACTAAACCACAGTTCAGACTTACTATTGGAATCCATACCCCAAATAAGCTTTGCAAGATCCTTAGCCTGGAAGACCCGACTTATTTTATGCAAATCAAATTCAATACATCGGGAGGGCTCAAAGTAGTATGAAAATAGAAAATATTTAGTATCTTTAAAAATAATATCAAGAGTCACCATATTATAATCCAAGAATCTCAAATCCAAAAACGTAGGTAGAAATCCGGCTCGAACAACAATAGCAGCCTTTATGACCTCTGAGTTAAAATCATAGTATAACCTAAAGGAACTCGGAAAGCCAGGCATAAGACCATGATAAGAGTAAGGTTCTTGAATAAAAGCAACAGAAACATTGTTTACCTCCATATTCAAAACAAGTTGCTGAGTAGCAGCCTTACATCTATGTAAATTAATTTGATCAAATTTTAAAATAAAATTATGACTATTATCCATAATTTGTTCTTGCTATATTTTGACTTCTTATAAATTCATGACAAGAGCAACTTTCAGAAAAAGGCAAATGGCTTACATTTAATTTTTTTTCTCATCTTTTATTTTTTTATTGCGTCTAATGCAATTGATACAGACTTTCAAATTCTTATGTGGACGACTGTAGTTGAATAATGTTTCTATTTACAAAATTTTGAACATTTAGAAGAGCAAATTTTGTGCTTTCCTTCACTTATAAAACATGGAAAGAAATTCAACTGAACTGTTTGGCCAATTTCCATCCATCAAAAGCGCAAAGCAATGCATTAAAATATTGATTGAAAAACAAATAAATTTTAGCTGCATATATTAAGTCTTTGCTTAGGTGAAAATAGTTTACGAAAACTAAAAGAGGTATCAATATTTTTCTCTGTATAAAAACTTGTAATGCTGTTACATACAATATCTTGCCGTGTTATGAAATTCTACCCCACATTTTTATCTCCTGCACCAATCCTCGAGTTCATTATTAATCCTCGAGTCAATATTATTTTTAAGTACATTGAGGTTTGAATAGTTAATTTCTTTTAAATCAGAGGACATTACGAAGTTATATAGAAATAACGAAAATTCTTGTAAAGGGTGTAACATTCTATAATGTTAATCTAACCAAGTTATTATGATTTAACGTTTTCTGTCACTTCTTTCTGTTTCCCTGCCAGAATGCAAATAGGCTTAAGAGTATTTAAGGTGAGGTTTTTGGATGGTAAGACAGAGTGGATTTCTTTTCCTCTCTTGTTACTAGGTTCTGCTGACTGAGAAAAAATTGCATTTTTCGGCTTTGAATTATAGTGGCCAATATTTAACTTTACTTTAAACTAGAGGTATTCAACCTTTAACGCCCGAGAGCCACATCAATAAATTCACAAAGATCCGTGGGCCACATGTCTGTAAAAATTGTGTAGTCATAAAATTTATGTAAAACAGCGAGGTTTGTTTTGCAAGACTACAATAGATTCTAAGCGAAGAGATACTGTTACACATTTGTGTATATATATATATATGCATTGGTTCCAAAATGTCAAATGGAAATCTAATTTAAAATGTTTTGCAACTTTGTTTAACTATGAAAAAAGTATAAAAATGATTTTACAGAACGATGTTACAAAAAGCATTGAAAATTTAAAAAAAAAAAAAAAAAAAAAAAAAAAAAAACATTTACATTACTGGCGGGAGATGGTAGTTACTTTAGTTTTAATGTGAAATTTGACATTGTTTTTGCTTGATTAAAGCTTCAATATCCGGTTTAATCTGTGTTGATGCAATTCGTAAAGATTGCTCCAACTGTGTCTGTCAGCCGTGTTCTTGTTTTTGATTTTAGGATTTTTCTTCTACTAAAATGCTGCTCTGATATGTAGGTACTGCCAAAGATAGAAGACATGAAGAGTGCATGTTTACGAATTCCTGGATATTTGTACTTCGAATAAAAATAAATTAATGTAGGATTTTCAAGAAACTTGCATTTTACTGCAGTCACACTTTAAATCTATAAATTCTGTTTGATGTTAAGCTGAAATACTTCCAAAGTCTACTGAAAATGGCGAGGAGAACATTCTTATAAAAACTTCATTTTCACGAAAATCGGAAAATCTGCTTTCGGATTTCTCTTTCAAATTTGAAATGCATTGTACATAATTACTTGAATTCCATGTTGTTGAGTTCTTCACATACTCCATCAATTTTGGAAAGTGAGTGGAATTCTTATTTAGCAACTGACTTTCCCACAGAATTAATTTTGTTTCAAAAGCTTTCACAAAGTAATACAGATTTTGAACAAGTCGATTCTTTTCCCAGTAAGCGGTTTCTCAAATCATTGAGATGACCTGTAATATCGACAAGAAGTGCAAAGTCTCTCAACCATTTCTCATCACTGAACTCGTGAATAGATTTCCCTTTACATTCTATGAATTGTTGATCTTCGCTCTTCAAATAAAACAGGCGCTGAAGCATCTTTCCCCGGCGATCACTCAACTGTTGAAATCGCCTGTGATTAAGTCCTTTAGACCGAATGAAATTAACTACTTTTACAACAGAGATAAGTATCTACCCTTTTTATGGAATTGAGATTTTATGCGTAGTCAATTTTTTAATTTTTAAAATTACATAAGATATAGTGAAATTTTTAAAACATTCGTCATTTTCAGAAAATTTAACCTCAAATAATATCAGGCATGTCAATAATATGTTTTAAATATCAAGAATAAAAGAAACAAATAGCTGACAGAGCAATTTTTTTAAATCAGTTTCTTAAAGTTTTTCAATTTTTCTTCTAATTCAAATGTGGGCCACTAAAATGCCTTCACCGGGGCACTCGTGACCCTAGAGCCACGAATTAAGACCCCTATTTCAAACCAATTGTGTAGCCTTTGGCTATTAGTCTTAGTCTCAATTTGAATTTGATTGTTACTTAAGTTATACCTTCATAAGTGGTAACTGATTTGTAAGCACGAGATGTGCAGTTTTTGTTCAAAGTCCAGAGTAAATAAAAAGGTTATTTTGTAATATTCTCAGGTCCTTAATAATACGTGTCGTTATCTTCAGACGAGTGATAATTCGCTCCAATTCTGTTAGAAGTTTGGATACTAGTTTATGCTATCAAAGAACACCACACGCTATGAGGAAACGGAAAACTGAATAGCTTACTTTTAATTTAAACAATACTTTTAATTGTGATAAGCCTCTCTAAATCTTACAGACATTTTAGTTCATTGTGGTGCATTTCTTGACTGTGTATTGTTATTCTTTTATTTTTAATCGTAGTTAGATTAAGCGTTTAATATTTCTGTTAATATTATTCAATTAAAACCCTTAATATTTCCGTAAGTATGACTACTGTTTTAAAATGTCGTCATCTTTGAATACTTATGGAAATACTAACAATGCATTTTTTTACTTTTATTATTTGGGAGGAACTTTCACTTTCGAGTAGTTCATTACTGCTTTGCATGACTGAAAGATTACAGTAAGAAGTTAGATGCAAATAGCAATTCAGTTCAAACGATTTTAAGTCCCACAGGAATGCATGAAATCCCGATTACTTAAATTCTCGTATTATTCATGAAACGTTTAGGAATTTCTATTCGGTATTCTATGGTAAATCACGTTGAACTTATGAACAAACCAAAAAACCAGGAATACAGGTGTTCTCAGAAGTCAAATACATAAAAATATTTTTATATATAATCGCTCTTGAGTAATTACGACAGTCACTTACGCAGAAGTTTTATCGGAAATATGCATTGCCTAGAAAAAAGTACTGTACATTTAAAACAAATTACCGTGCATATTTATTTTACATGTAACCATTTTCTTTCAGATTCATTGTTACCGCGCTTTAGATTGCTGTAAAAATGTAAATGCATTTAAACTGTTATTCAAGATTAGTATTATTTAAACTGTTATTCAAGATTAGTATTATTTAAACTGTTATTCAAGATTAGTATTATTTAAACTGTTATTCAAGATTAGTATTATTTAAACTGTTATTCAAGATATATACTACCGACTTTTCAAGAAATACAGTGAATAGCTGACATAAGAAAATCATCCTAGAGAATATATATGTGTATGTGGTGTATTCTAGACATCGGTAGCATGAAAAGATCACAACGTATGTTAGAATATATACGACTCCTCGTGATGTTGAGGTCCCCGCATATGCGTGAAGTGACAGAAATTTTCCTACCCAAATGTACTAAAAGGTCAGACCGTGTCAATTAATCTTCAAAATATGTAAGCTAGCTTGGTTTCGTTTATTTGTTTACGGCAAAACATGCGAAGACTATCTGCCTGTTGTATGTTGGAAGAGTCTGGCTATTCTATTATCAATGATGGCTGGGAGTGAGTATCCAAATTTTAGTAACATGCAGTTGAATGTTAAGTGATAGAGTGCAATAATCTACAATCAGCAGTCCCGTGCTCGAGCGTCTGTTATGACTGAGGAACAGCAAGAAAATTCTCCTAAAGTGCATTTGGATATTTATTCACAGCGTGTGATGACCTGCAGTGAGTTGTCCTGGATTCGAGCTCCAGTTATGGCTGAGAGAGAGCAGCCAAATGCTCCTAACACACATTTGAATATGTTGAGTCATTAACTTTCTTACCAGTAAACATAAAAATGTTCAGTGCTGTTTCTGGGATTCGGATTCTTAACCTTCATATTGCTAGCCGGACGTGCTTGAAACCATACCAAGACGGCAGGCGGCAAGGAAGGAGAAAATTCTTGCAAAAGTCAATTGGCAGGGTGTGATGATTTTTTGTTAGTAGTCTTGTGTTCGAACCACAGAACATACGATATATTTATTGCGTTCAGCCAGTACTAACCCGTAAATATTGATAAAGACGCAAGACTATGTTGTGCAGTTTTCTGAAACCATAATTCAGTTTTGCAAGATCAATAAACAATGGACAACAATGGACAAACATCAATAAACAATGGACAAACAATAAACAATGGACAGACAAACATGCAATAACAAACATTGCAAGATCAATAAACAATGGAAGTGTGTTCCTTTTAATAAATTTATGTTATCGAAATACACTTGTTTTATTGCCTTTATAATTTTAAGTTATTTTGAAATGCATGGGAAAATATCTAGAAAAAAAATACAAAAGAGAAATAATTGTGACGAAGATCTCACATAACACTTGTGTTAGTGCCATCAAGTTCACAGAGAAGAATAGCAATATTTCAACTATCTAGTTTCTTTTCTTTTAGGAATAAATTTGTCACTGTCCCTGTTTTCTCGATGTCGGAAAGTTGCTTTTTCTCTCATAGGCGATAAAACTTTGTCTTTCGGAAGACAAATAGTCAACGTAAGTCAGATCAAAATAAAAAAGAAATATATAGAGAGAATCGAGGATATCAAGAGAACGGAAAGTAATAAACACCAAAAGCAAAATCGTAAAGAATGAATATATGTATGAACAGAGGTCAGACATAGTCGAAATACTATTGCTTT